CAAAAAATATCTACAGCTCAGACAGGGCTTTAGGCAAGCAAACCCGTAGTTCGTATACCCTGTAATGCCTACTCCAGGGTGTCTTAAACAATATAATAATAGAACAATGCTATAACAAATAGTTCAAATACAGTTTACAAATTGTAAGCATTTTATTTGAGCACAAGCTATCCATACTAATGATAACTAAAAACTGAAAATGGGATGTAATATTATTAATACAAACAAAATAATAATCAAAAAAATATAGTTGAATAACTGTGAATGTGGTGAATTATACTACGTTTAGTAAATGCTTGTTATCGAAAATGTATCTTTCGATGCGATAAATATTGCCAGCTGCCCCAGAAGTGTCAAAAGTAACAAGTTTCTTCTGCACGGAAGTCAAGAAAGTAATACAGATAGGATATGGGAAAAGTGCAGCTAAAAATGCGATCAACAGTCGATATTCGCTACATAGTGACAAAATGTGTTGGAAGATAAGAAAGCGATATTCCTTATTCACCGAAAGAATCGAAACTATTCGGAATAATTTTCGGATTCGTCTTTTTCTGCAGTTGGAAGACCCAATACTTAATGTAATAATCACATTCTTATTCTGTATAATCACACATATGTATTTCTCTGGGTATTTACGCGTCGATCATTCCACAAACAGTCAGTCACATCATTTGCAAGTTGTCTTCTCTGACTGCTTTGGAGCTTCTTGTCTTTGATATTGGCATCTGGCCAGATCACGCCTATTTTGTAACGCATATTTCAATTGTCTACGCCCAGGTTCAACTGCTGTCCTCCCCTGCACAGTCTCATACACCTTCTCCTCCTCCTACGGCTCCTGGTTCTCCTTCTTCTGCTGCTGGTGTGCAACACCTTCACTAATTTCTAACAGTTGTATGCTAATTTGTGGACAAGCAAACATTTGAAGAAGCCGCTGACAACGTTGCCATTCACCAAAGTTGTTTGTTGTTCGTTATTGTTGCTATTGTTGTTGTTGTTATTGTTGTCAGTCAACATGTGTATTTTAACAGTTAATTTATGCTATTTAATTTGGCATTTCATTTGATTAATAACCATTATTGTCTCTTTTGTGTTGTAAGAGAAATAGAAAGACTTATCACACCGTTTTGTTATTGTTCTAATTTTTGTATCTTATGTGACCCTTTCGAAGTGTGACTAATCAAATTAGCATGCAACACGAAGAAGAAGAAGAAGAAGAACAACAACAACAGCAACAATAATGAAGTTAAACAATTGCACACATTGAGCAACATTCCAGGTAGCAACATGTTGCTAATAGCTTGTTTTGTTTTTTATGTCTTAGCATAATTGAAGGCCGTCTCCTACCCTTGGTGAGGGTATTGTAGCTTTCTAGTGAAGATCGTAACACATTGCAGGAGACGTCTGCGTCACCATAAAGTATATATTCTTGATCAGCATCATTGGCCAAAGTCGATATAGCGATGCTTTAAAGCTTTCTTCCTGAAGTTGTTGTTGTTGAAGGCGCATGCCTCTTTTTGCAGGCAGTACATATGTTGAAGCTTTTACGTTATTTATATTATTATTCCACATTAGTATTTTTAGACTTCACATATACACAAACATTTTTCACTAATTTAAAAGCCGAGCCAGTAAATATCATTGCGATTTTCTTAATTTCAAAATAGATTATTTCTAAAAATGATGGTTTGTATTTCTACTTTTAAGAAAATCATTTCTTAAGAATGGAAAATATTTCTGAAAAATATATTTAGAATTTACATATTTAGAAATTATTTCTAAAAAAGGAAACTTTCTATTTTTAGGGTGATTTACTAAAATGGGTGATTTTTTTTTAATATAGCTTCCATGGAACGATCAAACGAAAGATGAGTTCTTCTATGAAAATCTTTTTGTTTGTTTACCAAGGTCTCCTAAGCAAGTTCAGCAGTAATGATATATACATGTATATATATATTAGAACAATTGATCTGCTTTTTTGCCTAGGATAGCCTTTCTCACCTGTTCGTTTTAAATATGTTTGATGCTTTTAACAGGATAAGGAACTCAGTGTTTTAAATACATTCTAGAAATTGGTTAATCCGACTGTAGAAATAAACGCTTAGGAGCATTTACCCGAGCAGGAATATTAGAATTGTGTTTGATTTTTGATCGTATACATAAGTGACTTGACAGAGTCTATATGGATTATTCTGTCCGGAAAAAAAACAGTATCTTGTATCTTATCTGTAGGAAGTAAGCACAGTAGAAAGGACTTACCATCCATGTAGTTCTTGTGAGAGTTTACGTGTTGTATGATTTATGCTGTATCTGCCTTTAAATATGCTCTATTATATTCACATAATATATATTATATTAAAAGCTAGTCTGCGTGGTAGTAATTGAACAGCATGCAACATGTTGCACATTCCAGACAAATAATCAAACCAAAATCGTTGCTGCTTGCCATTAATATTTTATTATTATAACATTTATTTTGATTGCAATGTGAGGCACAGTAGCCGGAGCCCTTTACTACCACCTGTCCCAAAACCACAGCCTAACGTCTGCTCATTGTGTATGTGTGTGTGTGCAACACATACTTGCAACGCGCCATTCACTTCCTCTGTTCAGTTTATTCTTTTGCTTAAGGTTGCTTGCTGCTGTTGTTCCTGTTCTTGCCTGCTGGCTGAGGCACTGGAATGCGCATTAATTTTCAACACACGCAACAACAACAGCAACAACAAAAGCAGCAGCTAAACGAGAGTCCCGAAGGCAGTCGAAGAAACCTGCGTCAATTTCGCGCTTTACTTTTGTTGTCAGATGTTTTAAATCAGCGTTCGGCGCTCTCGAGGATCGCTCTGAGTTTGAGTCTGGCAACTGCCAACTGGCAACTGGCAACTGGCGACTAGCGACTGGGACCTGTGTGTAGGCAGTCCGGTTTTCGGGGCTGCTCCTTGCGTTAACAAGTGGCCACCAAGACTAAGACGAAGATGGAGACGAAGACGAAAACGGAGGCAGCAGCAGGGGCAGCTGCACGCGCCTGCCTCACTCGCAGTTTTGCCCCATAATGACTTTCAAATGGGAGCCGCGCTGCGATTTATGTGCGTCAAAAGAGCTGCCACAACCCAAATAGAGACAGCAAGCAACACACACATAAACAGAGAGTGAAGGGGGAGGAGGAGGCAGGTAGACAGGCGGAGGGGGAAACTGGGCAGACCGGGCGGCCGTTTCTTGGAATTCCGCGCGAGCTTTTGTGTTTCGTTTCTTCTTTTATTTTTTCTGTACGCCCTGCATACCAATTGCAGTAAGTTGCGTTTGGGTTGTATATAGAGTCTGGATCAGTTCTAGATGTATATCAACAAATGGAATATGTTTTGGGTAGGTTCTTGCTTACCTCAAGTTTCTACTCGATAATTTGATACACTTGATCAGTTATTTATATATTTCGATAGCTTCCTGCGTCTTATACACAAATCGAACGAAAAATAAAACATTGCCTTAAACTTAACTTTATTTTCGATAACTTCTGCACACATCGATATATATCGATGTCCGATTGCATTTATCCGCTGTAGGCAAAAAACAAATTTGTCATTCGGCTTTCATTATTTATTAATAACTCTCCGCTTTGCAATTATTGCCGACGTAGATCTTTGATTACTCAGTGAAGTATTTTCCCCATATGTTGACTACGGAGTATCTTTCAGTCGGGCACTCTCTACTCTTATTATTTTTATTTTTGTTGCTGCTGCTGGCAGCTTTTAAATTTCAAATCTAGAGGCTCAAACTGTCGCAGGGCAAATGCTGCACGAACCCGTTCCGCACAGCAACGTTACCCCCTTCCTCCTCCCCCTCCTCATCAAACCCCCTTGCAGCAGCAACAGCAGCAGCAGCACCTGCAGCCTTGGCTGCTCATAATAATGACACGCCATTAAGAATCTGATGCCCTGGCTGCCAAAAGGACTGTTTGGCCAGGCAGGCAGGCAGGCAACAGGCAGGCAACAGGCTGGCAACATGCTGCATGCAACATGCCAAGTGGCAGGCGGGCAGGCAGGCAGCTCAGCTTCACTCCAGTTTAAATGGCACATTGCAAGCGACTGTGCTTCCGTTGTCACGCCCCATTCGCGTACCAAAGGACAGCAGATCGGATCAACTCAACTCAACTCAGCTCCACACTTGCCCCGACTCTGCTTCCCTTTTACCCTTTCCTCTACACATACACACACACACACACACACACATACCACAATCAATCGTTTGTGGTACAGTTGTGTTCAAGACATGACATTCCTTACAATATGACCGCCCACTTTTGCTCAGTGTACCAATTTGAACAGACAAACAAACAAGTAAAAAAAAATACAAAATTATGTTGCGATCGTTTTCTTCATCTTACCAATAACAAAAGACATAAAGCAGTTGTTATTTATCTCTGACATACTTATGATATATATATACAGGCATACGAGTCGAACTGGAAACAAATCTGTTTTAATATTTACTCATTTTTAAACTTAACCAAAACATCAGAATGTTAAATTTACGAGAGAATAATGTGAAATACGTAAATGACTAAATTGAAATTGGTATTAGACTTTTCCCATCTTATTGTTATTATTAGAGAATTAAGATCCTTAATATAAATGTATTCTTCTTTTGTTTTTTTTTTTTGTTTTGAACGACATTCTTAAACCACATTGTACAGTTTTCATAAGATTCATATCATTTAATTTTTTTCTTATAAAAAGTATAGAGTTTACACAATATTGGAACCTCCAATTTTTATACATATTCGTAGAGCGACCACTTAAAAGACATCTTGTTAAAACCTGTCATTTTGCTTCGGTCATTCACTGCTCGATATCCAGCCGGTTCGAGCCACTATATTATAGCAGGATGACATCACACAAATCAGCAATATTATAAAATTTGTATTAAAACATATAAAATTCAAAATATATATATAAATAAATATAATAAATGAATATAAATATAAAATTTATCCGCTTTATTTTTTGCAGGTGTCTGTTGCCACATCATTGAACTGCAGCCAGGCGTAGACATGGGTCAACTGTTGCTGCCACTGGTTGTGGCCATAGTCAGTGTATGCCTGATGATATGCACTTGCAACAGCAGCAGTAGCAGCAGCAGCAGTAATAACTCCGGCAGCAATATGCTGGGCGTGTACATTGAACGTGCCCCGGAATCGGCTGTGGCGCCCAAGGGTGACGAGGTCGTTTTCGAGTGTGAGCTAAATTTGAAACCGGATCGATTGGAGTGGCGATTTCGGGTGAGTGGCAGCGATCCATATCGCTATCTGTATCCGGCAGCCGGTTACAATGTGACCAGCAGCAACGAGGGTCGCACCTGGAAGCTGCGCATCTATGTGAATGCCCAGACACTGGGTGACTATCAGTGTGTGGCATGGTACGGGCCCGGTGCCATTGCCTCGACACCGGGACGATTAACGCTCGTCTCCATATCGCTGGATGGTGCCAACAATGGATATGGCCGGCATGCTGTCCGCTGGAGCGTTGCGCCCAATAATTGTGTGCTATTGCGTTGCGGCTCGGTTGTCTCCAATCCGCCGGCCATTTGGAGTTTCTATCGCAACGGCGAGAAATTGCCGCAAACGGAGCTGCTGCTGTCCGGCGCCGCCGGCGCCCTCGTTCTCAGCTCCGTGACCGCCAAGGATGCGGGCAACTATTCGTGTGCCGCAACGAATGCGATAACGGGCGTCGAGTTGCGTCTGCCGCAAGTGATTGACTTGCGTGTGGATTATACGGAACGCACGCCGCCATATTTTCTGCTACAGCAGCCGGCGACTCAGGTGGCCGCACGTCCCGGCGACAGTGTTGTACTTGAGTGTCCGGGCGTCGGTTCGCCGCGACCGAGTGCCGTTTGGAGCAGCCCCGATGTGCGCAACATCTATCACAATCGGAGCCGTGTGCTCGCCTACGGACTGCAGATCAATGATGTGCGGCCCGAGGATCAGGGCTCGTATGTGTGTCGTCTGGACAACGGCATTGCCCCCGTTCTCGTGCACATGATCAAGCTAAGCGTGCTTCAGCGTCCACGCATCGTACGCGGCCCAGAGATGACCCTAACCAATGAAGGCGATGCCCTCACGCTGGAGTGCATTGCCACCGGACATCCGCAGCCGGAGATCTATTGGCTGTTCAACGGCGAGGATGCCAGCGCCGACAATGAAACGCTCATCGAGCCCAATCGCCTCCTCATCCATCATGTCCAGAAGCGTCACGCGGGCGTCGTTCAATGCTTTGCCCGCAATCAACTGGGCGAGGTGAGTATCTTTTCTTTTTTTTTTGTGACGCCCTGAATTATGAGTGCTCAGAAAAAAATGACTAAAACTTAAGATTAAGGAGGCTTTCTAAAAACCAGGGCTGCGTGCATTTCTTAATTTCAGTTTGTTGTGTTCTTCTTATATTAGCGCCTTTTGTTTTTCTTGCTTATAACAATTATTGATAATTAGTATTTAAAGATTTCACATATACAAATATGTTATACATTCATATAACTCAATTTGAAATGAGCAAACGATACGTGACGGAGGAATTCGAGCCCGAGGAATCTTCGTTCTCTTAAAATTACTAAACTAATTATCAGCTAACCTCTAAAATAGTATTGCAGTGAGCTGATTTCATTACCATTTCCTACATTTCAAAATATATTTATAGAAATTCCTTATTATTGGAATAGTTGACTTGTTGCAAACCTTTCTAATTTAATTTTAAAAATAATGTTTTCTTTTATTTAGAAATTATGATTATGTTCGGGCAATTCTATAAATTTCAAGTCGAGTTTTTGTGAGTGTTTTTAACATTGATTTGAATATATTGGTGTATATAAAATAAACATACATTTTTGGATAGTTTTTCGCTTTGCTATTGCTACTGCTACGAATTTTAACAGAGCAAAAGCAATAGCCAATAGCAGAATACTGATATCATTGCTCTTCCGCTCTGCTCTGTCTTTTGCAAGAGTAACATCGGTAGTAAGTAGTAAAAAAATGCTCTCAGTAGTTGTAGCAATAGCAGAAAGAGTAGCTCGTGCTACTGTTGTGGCAATGGCATATTTAATTTTCTACCTAAGCAGCTAATTCTCTCTGCTAGGTAATTCTGTTGACCTTTTTTTTTGTAAGGCTTTGTGGGTTCTGTTAAGTTAGTAGCATTGGCGATAGCGGAGCACGATTTGAATTGGTCTTGCGGCAATGGAGTAGTAAATACAAACACTGACTCGTATTCAACCAGTATCAATTTAACGTTTAGATGTTGATATAAAATTTCAAATTCATTTTCTGTGAAGCTGTACCAGTCTGAGGTAAGTTTTGATTCAGACTTGTCGCATAAGGTTTTGCAAGAAGCAACACGTGAATAAATCCGAGTTTGTGTACAAAATTCAAATTCAATGAAATTCCATTCAAATTTGCACAGCTTAATGTGAAATAAACAAAATGATTTGCCAAATTACATTTTGGTTGAGTTTTAGTCATGTTTGGTTAATTGAAAAGTCTGGCAAGAGCATTTACCAGATGGGTATTCCAAAAACAAAAACAATTAGACGTTGAAACAATGAATGAAGATGATCATCTATGCATATACGTGTATATCTTTCTCTATCTCTAATGTCTCCCCCATCATGTTTATATATATATATACTGCTTAACCCCAGTTGGAATTTTTCGGTTTATCTTGCAGACGAGCGAGGGCAACATGTTGCGTGTGAATCCCTTACAGATCAGTGGCGAGGATTATCCGCCACTGGGCGATGTGCCTATGCGATCGCCGCACGATCCAATCTATGACAATGGGGGCAATGGTGGCTCATCATTCGGCACATCCTCCTCATCCGGTTCATATGGTGGCGGTTCCCGTAACAAGAAGCGCAAATACATGAGAGTTGGTGAGTTTGATTTTCGGTTTTTATGTTTTTATGTTTGTTATTGTTATTGTTCGTTTAGTTTTGCTTAATGTGTTCATTGTATTTCATAACACGATTTACAATTACAATAAGAGAAATTGCTTAGGAATAGACGATAATCGGTAATTGGTAATCGGTAAATGGTAATCGGTAAATGGTAAACGGTAATCAGTAATCGGTTATCGTTAATCCTGACCAGCCAAAATCAGCTGGTCGTCCCGCCCACCCGAAAACATTAGAGTATAAATTTCATACAAACACAAACAAAAAATATCGAAAAAGTCGAATTTGAAAAAAAAAGAACAAAAACTAAAATTAGTTACAGATGTAAAATAGACTAAATATATATTATATATGTATATATAATAAGCTGCGTCCGTGCTAGAGCAGCAATTGCATGTCCAGGTCCATGTACTCGCCCTGCGTTGCCCCATCTGCGTCTGCATCCGGATCAGCATCCGCATCCGGCTCCGCATCACTGATATCCTCCAGATCTCATGTACTCGAGCATTTACTGAGCTGCTCCTCCTCCTTTTGCAGGATGCGTATCTTCATTTTGAGCTCCTCGACGCGCAGGCGATGCACCTCGCGCATATACTTGAGCTCATCCTGCGCCTTGTTCACCTCAATCTTCTTCGCCTCGGTGGCCAGCTGCTGTTCCTTGCATCGCAGCTCTGCCTCCTTCACCTTAAAATAGTTGATGCGCTCCTCGTAGCTATCGTTCGCCGTTTGCCCATTCGTTCCAGTCAGCGTTCCAGCGCTGCTGCTGCCGAC